TATATATATATATATATATTGTGAAGCCCATGGTCGGTGAGATTATAAATCTTCTAGCTAGTTTTGTGTATAGTCTCTATCTTCAGATATTTTTTGCTATAAGGGATTCAAAAACAATTTGATTGACTAACATTTCTTTTTCACTTTTTATTATTATATATACACAAATACTATATTTATGATATATTTTTTTCAATGTTCAATTTTGTTATAGTATACATCACTATCCTCTACATTTTAAAATATATTATATTAAAGAACCCGGACATAAAGTAGGCGTCGGGTTTTAATTGTAATTTAAAAATAAATATATTAATTTACACTACTAGAATTTGATTTTTGTATAAATCTTGCTTATTAGTCATTTTTGTCAAGTTTTCTCAAATTTCTTGAATTGCACTATTCATTTGTCTCCTTGTGATTCATAAGAATATATATGATATTTTTTATTTTTTTTATAATCCGAAAATTCACTAGATTTTTTATCCAATTAAAAAGAACGGAGAAGTACGAGTTAATATTTCTCCTACTTATTATCCAAAAAAAAATATATTCCTCCTACTTTTAGATTTGAACCCGATATGATATTTTGTTTTTCGCGATAATATAGTGTTCAATTACCATTTGTGAGTAACGAGAGTGTATTCTTTTTATTATTATTATTACAATAGACTTATTATGGGGGGTGAAAAATTTAAGTTAAAAATCATAAATTAATTATCTCATCGTGTAATTAATGAAGCATGGAAACCTAGTCGTATGCACGAGGCACGCCATGTTATTTGTATTTCCAAGACATCCAGTTATTTAAAAAAAATTAAAATCATATTTACCCGTACGAGTTCCCATTTTCCATTCTCCTTTTCGTAAATATATTTATCCATTTTTTTTCTAAAAATATACATATTTTCAAAACCGTAATAGATGTAGATATATTACCTTCAAATTTAATTTATAATGTTTATCACATATATAAAACTTTATATATGTGATAATGTTCTATTATCGATGTATACGAGTAACGTAAATGTCAAATAACTTTACCAACTCAACGTTTCGAATTCGTGAATTTTGTAGATGACTTGATTTTTGACCATTTCTATTCGATTGTATAAAAGTTAATCAAATCAAACTAGATAATTATATATGAATATCTAAAAACTGATTAAGAATATTTTAGAATCAGACTAATTGAAACTAAATTTGTATAATTTATAACAAATAGAATGTTTTTTAAAAAATAAATATATATTCTAATAATCCCAATAAAATAACAAAAATAAACAATTTTAAAAATATTATTTTCTTAATAAAAATATTTATGACTTGAATACTAATGGATATACAAAAATGTAATATAAAAAAAACAAATGTGTAAAGTTTCTCTAAAATTTAAAAATATGAACACGAGAAAATACAATTGAAATCAAAGGAAAAAAAGTGAAATATAATGTAGTTTTCATTTTTTTTTAAAAATCGTGAGACGGTGATATTATATGGTACTAAAAGGATGGAGTCGGAGTTTCCATGACAGCTGTCAGATTTTGCCATCCTCTCTCCTCTCTTCCACCCCGTTATGGCTCTGTCTTTAATTTGACCTTCTCTGACTCTCTCTAGATTTTTCCCTTCTCTATCTTTTGTTCTTCATTAACGTTACCTCGGAAAAATACAAGCGGACCGTGCATATATATATACACACACACACACATGTATTGATGTTAGGACTAATACAACAAAACGTTATACATCTCCAATGCATGAAGCGCATGCATGTGATATTTTAGGTTTCCTTTCGTGAAAACAACTATAGAGACCGATTGATCCGTCAATTTAAATTTCTTATAACCACGGTATATAGAATCATTTCTCTCTCTTTCTTTATTTTGGGTCACCGTTTTCACATTTATTTGGAGAGATCGATCACTTCCATCCACATGTGAATAAATGAAACGTACGTGTAAAGAATGCAATAACCGATAACCATATTAAATTTAATAGTGCTAAGGTGTGAAAACATTTTTTTATCTAATGTCGTTTTCTAACTAACATGACGAAAACACACTTCCACTTCTCTCACACTCACTCTGTCTATATAAACCCCGCTCTCACTCTCCACATTTCTCAGCCCAAAAACCCACCGACCCACGACTCGCCACATGTCCTCCATGGTTGACTCACCCCATTCGGACGCCGACTCAGCCGTCTCCACCACCGAGTCGACCTCACCGAGTGATGAAACCACGAGGACGAAGAACAAGAAGCGGGTCAGACCTGATCCTTGTTACCGAGGGGTCCGGATGAGGACGTGGGGCAAATGGGTCTCCGAGATCCGAGAGCCTCGCAAGAAGAGTAGAATCTGGCTCGGCACCTTCGCCACCGCAGACGCCGCGGCGCGTGCTCACGACGCCGCGGCGTTGACCGTCAAAGGCTCATCCGCCGTCCTCAACTTCCCGGAGCTCGCTGCCTGCCTCCCCCGCCCTGCTTCTGCCTCCCCCCGCGACGTCCAAGCCGCTGCCGCCATTGCCGCCGCCATGGATATCTCCTCCGCCTCCGGAGAAGCCAAGTCTCCGCCGTCGGTTTCGTCGGAGGCGTCCACGTCTTCGGCGGACGATCTGAGCGAGATACTCGAGTTGCCGAGTCTGGAGACGGGTCGCGATGCGCCGAGGAACGAGTTCGTGTTTGATGACTCGGTCATTCCTGGTTCGCCGTGGTATTTCAGTAACTGCTATAGTTATTATCGTAGTGAGGACGATGGTACTGCGATTGGTGAAGTCTTTGAGTCCCCAAATTTTGGTCCTCTTTTTTCCTTGGAATTTTAATTCTACCCCATATTTTTCAAAATCACAATTTAGCCCCTTCTCGGAGGTTTATTTTATTTTATGGACTCTCACGTTCATATCAGAGTTTTAATTCGATCATTAGCAGTCTAATGAGCCCAAATCATATATATGATTAACGGCTATACTTGTATTCACATATTTAATTCGATAGTTATATTATATTTCGCAACTAATATATATAGCTTTATTATACAAACTACCTTCCAAATGTTTTAATATTCCTTGGAATAGATAATATTTCTTCGCATGAAATCATCTAATAAATTGTATAGATGTATACATGTATATATGGTTATAAGTACTTAACGTCAACGCATCTATAAACTATAATAGCCTATAGTTATATTTTCATTTTCATGTTGATTTATAACAGAAAAAATATATTAAATTTCAAATGGTCCTTGTAGCTGACAGCTCGGAATCTTTTCAACTTGCTAATTTATTACGATGCTCTCAATTTAATAAACAAAAAACGATAGTAAGTCCGTTTAACTAACATTTAATACCAATCATCCGTTCAAGCACAATAAAATAAAGCAATAAATATACAAATTATGCCATTTTGTAAAATTACATGTAGTTGATTATAATTCGAAACAAACCATCAATAAAACTTAAAAAATGTGGTCAAATGATTTTTACGTTAGATAATTTGAGGGTTTCATATTTTTTCTTTATCACATCCGAAAAAGAAATATAGTTATTATATATATATATATATATATATATATATATATAGCTTGTACGTTAACAAGGTATTGACTTCCATGTTGTGGTCAGAGATAAATTATGACTTGACTCATAATCAAGATGCAATTTATGCACAAAGTCATATGCAAATCCAACACTCATGACAGAATTATTTATTTTTTAAAACGATTAATTTATGGTGCGATTTCTCCTCGGCCAACATCAATCAACACCGCTGTGATTAAATTATTTAATCATTTCGTACCGTCCATCTAAACCTTAATTTAATTTCCATCTTAATCAATGTTAATAAAAATATTCTGTCGAAGGACCATTGGGATCCGCGGTCAACGGAGGTTCCACGATGAAGGTTATTTTTTTAAAATTATTAGCAATGTATTTAAATTTAATCATCATCATTCATGGCTAAACACAGCGTATAAAAGAGGAACTAAACTCGTAACATTTAAAATGGAACAGGGAATAAAATATGTAGTGTTGATGTACATTTGATTACAAGTATTTAGATATTTCGAATATAAATATGAACATACATCCTCTTTCGATTGCGATAATTTCTCGTCGTGTGTCTGATGTCGTAATGATTTATTTTCATCGCATATACTTTTGCAAACTTGGTTTCTGTTATAAAATGTTATAGGTAATCATATTCAAAAAAGTCTCACAACGTTGTCGCTTTGGCCGAGTGGTTAAGGCGTGTGCCTGCTAAGTACATGGGGTTTCCCCGCGAGAGTTCGAATCTCTCAGGCGACGATGTAAGTTTTCCTTTTTTTTTGTTGCATAATTTTAATTTTGGTATATAATATAACATAAGCACACGGAATTTTGGAATCCATTTCCGAAACCAATTTCACAAAACTATATTAATATTTGTTGTCTACAGTTTCGGAAGCAAATTAAGCCGTTTTTATCTGAAGGCCCATTATTCGATCCCTGTCTCTCTCGGTCCGTGGACCCGTAGATGATTCGATGGGTTTTCTATAAATCTAGTGACAACCATAGACCCAACATTTATCGTAAGTTATAATATGACTATTTTTTGATTTTGGGTTTGGTTGACAAAAAATATGGAGAGCAAATTTATTCATCTCATTTGTTGATCTAATTTATAATTATAATGTTAACTAAATATATGATTTTTTTTGTAATGTTAATACTACAAAAATGCGTATACAACAAACCACCACCAACATGCAAAAAGACTACCAAAGAATTTATTTTGGGCACCTGGTCTGTCACGTGTCGATTAGTTTGAAAACCAAACGGCGCACGTGCCTCCCAAAATTTGAATTTCTGAGATGAAAAAACAAAAACAAAAAAGGGTAAAATCCAGAAGGAGAATATCAAAAGAATCCTCTCTCTCTCTCCCTCCCTCAAATCAATCTGAAGGAAGAGAAGAAGACCGCCATGGAAACTGTACTCGTGGACTGTGTACAGAACAGTCTCCGTCTATTCATGTACAAAAACGCCATTTTCATGTGTGAGCGTCTCTTGGCAGAGTTCCCTTCCGAGGTGCCTGCTCTTTTGAATGTGGGACCAGTGAGTCCGCTGAAGGGGCTAGGACACAGGGTATGTGTACTGAACTAATAAAAGTGCTTTCCCTCTCTTGTTTAGTTCTTGAAATCGAAGCAGTTCTGATGTAAATAAGGAGATTCTGATTCATAGGGTCTGTTCCGTTCTAATTCTTTCGAATCTTCTCTGTTTTTCGGGGGACGAATTGAAAAGCCCCGTTGCGTTTTCCGAGATTTATGTTGGGTTGCTTAGCTCTACTGCTCTGCTTTCTGAATCTGTCCGTCGTTCTTTAGCTTGAAATAAGGAATAAATTCCCGAAAATTTCGCTCTTTCTTCCTGATTTTCCCTGTAGACTCGCTCAGTACTGATCTGGTCCGGATTTGTTTTTGTCTGAGACTGGAACTTGTTAGAGGATTGGTTCGGGGAAGAATTTTCTGGGCATGCCTCAAAATTTGTGGAAAGTTTGCTTTACACAGCATTGGAATTGGGAAATCGATGCGGAGAAAGAATTGATCTTGCCTGGGGTGTGAGATGAATTTCAACACTTGCATTGTTTGCCCAATTGTTTGCTCTTGTTCAGAGAATCATGTCCATCTAGAACATGATGTGGGGGCTTCTTGTTTTTTGTTTAACCAATCATTTCTATAACAAACATTTTTTTTCTCTTGCAGGTAAATATGCAGCTATTAGCTGCCTGCTACTTGCAGAGTGGTCAGGCCTACTGCGCATATCATCTTTTAAAGGGTGGGTTTGTAGCATTGCTTCATGTCTTGTTGTGACCGTTGCTCAATTTGTCTGAAAATCTGAGCATTTGAGTCTTCTTTTGCGGTGTCATTTTGTTCATCTCTGTGCTTTCTGTCTTGTTATTATCTGAAGGAACACAAATGGCTCAGTCCCGCTACTTGTTTGCTTTGTCATGCTTCCATTTGGATCTTCTTAATGAAGCCGAATCTGCACTTTGTCCTCCTAATGAGCCTGGTGCGGAGGTATTTAATGATCGGTGAAGTGGAGCGTCTTTTGATGGATTCGTTGTTCTAGCATCACCTAAGTTTGATTATGGCAGTCAGCATTTTGTTTTTTTTTGTTTTCATTTGGTTCACTTAAGGAAGTTGCAAAATTCCTTGTGATTCTTACTGTTTTGCAGATCCCGAATGGTGCAGCAGGGCATTACCTTCTTGGACTCGTTTACAAGTTCGTCTTCTTCCTTTTTCTTTTGTTATTTTGTCTCTTGCATTGGTGTGTTGCTTTCAGGTGGCTTTATGTGTTCGCTCAGATGATTTCTCATCTGCAATAGTAACTTTTCAGGCTAACTGATAGGATGAAAAATGCTGTTCAGCAATTTAGGCAGGCCTTGACAACAGATCCTCTACTCTGGGGTGCATACGAGGAATTATGTGCACTAGGTGAGTGGGATCCTTTTTTCTATATAGTACTGTGCCTTTTTAGCTATGGTTTCCTCACAGTTTGTTTTCTTTCTTTCTTTCTTCAGGAGCGGCTGAGGAAACAACTACCGTTTTTGGTGAAGCAGCTGCTCTCTTTATTCAAAAGCAGTACATGCAACAATTGTCAACTTCTCACAGCACAAACATGGCCTACCGAGAACGTAATTTGGTGCCTAATAAAAACTTGAGTTCTGAAGATCGTAGTCCAAGGCCATCGAAACACACACAAGTCAATAGCCTAAAAGATATCTCTGGAAATTACCATGCCCATGGTCTTAACGGCGGTGCATCGATTATGACATTCTATAATACTCCTTCGCCAGTGGCTTCACAGGTAATGTGACATAAAATCTCGGTTTGTCTTGCTTCACTGTATTATAAAGTTCCAATTAGGTGGTCATGTGTTAGCAGCATCATTTTCATTTTCTTCTAACAATTCCTGGTAATCTATTGCTTGTCAATGTTCTCTTCATCTTGAATTTAATTTTTCAATCACTTCCGGATATTGGATATCATTCATTATGCGTTTATCTCTTAATGCACGCCTTCAGTGTCAGTGATGGTCTTGGTGATCCTTTTAACACTTTAAAGCACCATCGTATTAGTCTCTTGCATTGTCAGTATGGTTTGGCATATCGGGTTTAGTAAAATTTTTAATTTGGCAAACAAATTCACGTCTTAAACACTATTTACTTTGCTACTTTGATGCAGGTGCTTGAACACTCATTGTTAAGTTTTAACTTCTAGCACGGTTATGTTCGTGTGTAGGGATGTTTTAGACTTATCTAATTTCTCAAATTGTTAACCCTGTAGCTATCCGGTATAGCTCCACCACCACTGTTCCGGAATGTGCAGCCGACTGGTCCAAACCCAAGTTCCATCACTTCTGAAAGTTCTCCAAAATCCACAGTAAATTCTACTATTCAAGCACCCCGAAGAAAGTTCGTGGATGAAGGAAAGCTACGGAAGGTTAGTACGTGTATTTGGCTATTGTAGATTATTGGCGTTTACTTTTCTCTGTAGCATTCTGATCGATGTATGGGTTAGGTAGATTCATTGAATCTGGACTATAGTTAGTATTAGTTAGGTAGTAGTTTCGGCAATGAATAGTTATAAATACAAATTAGAGGGATGAAAAAAGGGGGGACGGAAAAGTTTCAGAAAGGGTTAGGGTTTGTTTGGGGAATGAGAGTTGGGATCCTCTCATAAATCAAGATCATCCAAAGTTGTATTCAGGTTTTTGGTGAGGAATAAAGGCTCAATTGGTGCTGGAAAGTTGAGTTTCATAGTCTGAACCTTAACAGATTCTTATTTTTTGGATTGGTTCTGATATTCAGTCGAACTGGCTCTTCTCTCATCTTGTAACCCCGTTTCACATTCAAGAGCATTTTCTTGTTTTGTAGATTTCGGGTAGGTTGTTCTCTGATTCTGGTCCACGAAGGAGTACAAGGTTGTCTGCGGATTCAGGGGCAAACAGTAACCCGAATGTTACAGCAGTTAGCGGAAATGGAAACACCTCTTCTAAATATCTGGGAGGTTCTAAATTGAGTTCTTTGGCACTTCGGTCTGTGACTGTTCGGAAGGGACACTCTTGGGCAAATGAAAACATAGATGAAGGTGGTGGGTTCTATTCTATGCAAATTATGCAATGTATTGTTGTTTGGTTTGAATCTGGATGAGCATTATGATCATTATCTAATCTTGTCTCATTTTGATTGTCGACATCTGTGTAATACCCAAAGTATCTTCTGTTTTTGATTGATTTAGCGGTCCAGAATGAACCTTTTGATGATTCACGGCCCAACACTGCCTCAACAACTGGATCAATTGCTTCCAATGAAGCAAAATCTCATGAACAAGAAGCAACTGTGTCTGTTGGTGGCACAACATTGAACGTCCGAAGAATCACCGCTGGTGCTTCTGAAATACTAAGCTTCCTAAAGATCCTCGGGGAAGGGTATAGACTTTCATGCCTGTACAGGAGTCAGGTAAAGATAAACCTTTACTCTTACATAATGCCATAATGGAAGGTCAGATATACATTTAAGGATTATGTCATTGTCTTATCTGTTACTTTCGATGCTTCAGGAGGCTCTAGATATGTATATCAAGCTACCACATAAGCATTACAATACAGGCTGGGTTCTTTCCCAGGTAATATCTGGTTCTTATGTCATGCTGTTTGTTTCAGATTTAGTTGAGTTTGTGGATGTTTTTGCATAAGTGACCAATCTGGAACCATCTTATAAAGATTAGTGCTAGTGTATGAGCTTTTCGAGCAATTAACTTGAGTAGAGTTTTAGCCTGTTGGCCTGTGATGACCATAGTTCAGTTCAACTCACCTAATGTTTTTTAAACTCTTGTCTGTTTTTTAATTGTAGGTTGGAAAAGCATACTTTGAGTTAATAGACTATTTAGAAGCTGAAAGGGCATTCCGTCTTGCCCGCCAGGTGTCTCCTTATTGCTTAGAAGGAATGGACATATACTCTACCGTGCTCTATGTGAGTTTTGCTTTTCGTGTGTCTGAAAAGTACATATTCTCCTCTGGCAAATCTCAAATACCTTAGTTTTGGCTCAGATTGGAAAATTTCTGCATAAATTCTATGCTATGTTATTCTGAAACACTGTGTACTCATTTCTTGCAGCATTTGAAGGAAGACATGAAGCTGAGTTACTTGGCTCAGGAACTAATGTTAACTGATCGCTTAGCTCCCCAATCTTGGTACATTGTTTTCTCTCTTTAAGGTTTATTGAGTTGTGTTTCTTATATCTTGTTGGTATTAATAGCATATGTTATCTGACCAATATGTTTAGGTGTGCTATGGGAAACTGTTATAGCTTGCGAAAGGACCATGACACAGCATTGAAGAATTTCCAACGAGCTGTGCAACTAAATCCAAAATTTGCATATGCGCATACCCTTTGTGGCCACGAGTATGGAAGCTTCTATCCGTTTCGATTTAATAATGCGAATTAGATTTCTTCGACTTGTCTTAACTTCTGTCTCTTAACCGTTGGTGTAGACTTGCGACACTCGAAGATTTTGAGAACGGAATGAGATGTTACCAAAATGCCCTTCGGGTAGATACAAGACACTATAATGCTTGGTTTGGACTCGGAATGATCTACCTACGTCAAGAGAAGTTTGAGTTCTCGGAGCATCACTTCAGAATGGCTTTCCTGATAAACCCGCGTTCTTCTGTTATAATGTCTTATCTCGGGACAGCTTTACATGCCTTAAGAGTAAAGTCCTCTTTATTTGATCAATATTTTCGGCTTACAGGCTAACGGATATTTTTGCAAAAGGCTGATTCTTCTCATTTTTTCTTCTGTTCTTTCTTCCTTTAATGATTGGTCTTTTTGCAGAGAAACGAGGAAGCAATTGAGATAATGGAGCGGGCTATTCTGGCAGACAAAAAGAACCCTCTTCCAATGTACCAGAAAGCTAACATATTAGTCAGCTTGGAAAGATTGGATGAAGCTCTAGAAGTTCTAGAGGAGCTGAAAGAGTATGCGCCTTGTGAAAGCAGCGTGTATGCATTGATGGGCAGAATCTATAAACGAAGGAACATGCACGACAAGGCCATGCTTCATTTTGGTCTTGCTTTGGATATGAAACCGCCGGCCACTGATGTTGCAGCCATAAAGGTCGACCCTTTCTACTCTTTTTTTCTTCCCTCTTGCTTGAAACACATCTCTCTCATGTTGGTGTTGATCTGATCATTGTCTGAACAGGCTGCAATGGAGAAGTTGCATGTTCCTGATGAGATAGAAGACAGCCCATGAACCTTTGCTGCTCAAAAGGACCATCGAGAAAAAGAGGCATCTCGCTCTGGGACACACCTGACCTAGCTAGGGTTTCACAGGATTTGATCTTGCTTGTGCTTCCAAAGAGTGAGAAACAACCCTTTTTCAGGGTCTGAAATCTGAATCCAAGGACAGGGTTTATGGCTTCAGGATCTGAATTTTATAACTCAAAAACAGGGATTTTGTAGTGTTGTCTTCAAACCCTAACACAACCACACAAGAAAGCGTCCACGTGAGATTAAAGGTCATGTATCACTATGTTAAAATGCTTGTTAATAGTATTATGATTTTTTTTTTATTCCAAGTTTCTTGCTTTTTATTTAGCCAGATTTTTTTTTAAAAAAAAATTAGTTTTCGTGGGTAACATCACTAGTTTTCTTCATATCCAACCAACAAAACCCAGAAGGCAGAACAACAAAAACTGTATGCATTTAACTTTTTGTTAGATTAATACCCTTTTCCCCGTAATTTTCATACAAAATATGGCCAAGAAGAAGAAAACCTCTAATTGCCCACTTTGATTCTGACGGAGCCGCCTATAAAATCCCTATAAACTTCTATCATAAATCTCTCTTCAAACACAAACATCAGATAAACTTTTTTTCCAAGACAAAAGAGTTCTGATAAAGACAACTGTGGAACCATTCAGTAGATTCTGAAACAAATGTGTCTAATGCAAAGAATTTATGACAAGATCACTATATAATCTTGACAAGAACAAAACCCATCTCTATGATGGTGGAATCTCTTGTTATCTCGGTGGACCAACTCTCTGCCAACTGTTTTTGACATGAGATTAATTGCGCTGTGGCAATCAACACAGACACGGAGAGTTTCCGTCACCCGGATAGGAGAACGGGCAGGAGAGATGAGAAGAGCATTAGCGAAGGCTAATCTCTCGGTATGCGCAAGAAGGTCCTCCTCCTCAGCCTCTGGGTCAAAGTCTCGCAAAACACATCTGAGAAGAGGGACATATCCCATTTCCACCATCTGCACCTTTAGACCCCTCAATAGGCCATACGGCTTTTCTTTTTCGGGATGTGCGGTATCTCCTGCTCTGAATTCATGGCGGGCTTCGAGAGGATTCAGGATTCCCGACGTTTTCTTCAGTTTTTGTTTTTAATTCTTTGGCTGGTACCAGACCTGCCCTTGACTGTTTATTCAGCCTTGTTGCGTCTAGTTGCTCAACCAGCTCAGCACACCGATCTCCGAGCTCCAAATCTCCATGAACCCAAGAGAGATTCTTCAGTGTTTCCCACACGTCAACACTTGGTTCCATTGGCATCTTCTCGGCAAATTCCAAGGCTTCACCCAGATAACCGGGTGCTGCAAGCATCTCAACCTTGGTTGTAAAAGGCGCGAGGCGTCTTGGCCTCTTGTAAAGCCTCTGCTTCCCCACATAGTTGCGCCACCTGTAAGGTAAATCCACCACGTGACCCTTACTTGCCAGCGACTTGATAACATTTACGGCATTTTTCAACTGACCCTGTCAGCAAAATGCATCAAACTCCTCGATCGTGACACCACTCTCCATGTTACTGTAAGAAACATTGCCTGGTTGAGAAGACGGCCAACCATTCTGATTATTAGAGTTTGTCCAGTATTGTCCTCCTGTGCTTGTGTTTGGATTCTGCCACCTGTTCCAGTTGAGGTTTCCGTGGTCATAAGCATTAATCTCCTGCCATGTTTCCCCATGTCCACTAACCCTACTACTCTGAGGAATGTGATTTTGCTGATGAACACAACTCCAAGCACGATTCTGACTGTATATCGACTGAAATCCTCGTGGGCTCTCCCCATATACTCCATTCCGATTCTGCCAAGAACCCCGCACTCTCCCTGAGCAAATCCCGGCTGGATTCCCATCATACACATCAAGGCCACCGAGTCCTCTGCCCTGAACAAATCTAGGATTCTCATTCCCTAAACTCAACCTATTTGGATTCTGCCCAGCTATTTCATCTTTTCTCACGGAATGTGTCACGAAATCACTCACATCATTTCTAGGGTTTAAGATCTGCTGAAGCCCATGAGGGTTTCGAGCTCCATTTGTATAACCCGAAGAATCATACGCGTGATATGCATTAGGGTTCAGAAAATCCCCTCTTTCGGCAGCTCTACTTAGATTTATCAAACCATGCGATCGACCTAAAACGACATACCTTCGGTAGAGAGACAACAGAGATCGAAGCATTCCTCGTGTACATCAATGGCGAAGATACAAAGAACACAGAGAGGGAGAGGAGACGAAGCTCGTCAGTTTCTTTCTATTTTTTTAAAGAATCAATTCAGTTTTGAATTAGAAAAAAAGAAAAGAAAGGAAACTGACAAATCAAAATCCAATCTGTTGACTTTGGAAAGAATCAGAATAAAATGGAAGAAAGGATATCTATTGAATTTGTATCAAACCATTAGGCCGACCATTTCGGTTATTAACAATCGAACCGAACCGAATAATAGTAGTTCGGTTCGATTCGGTTATTTACTAAGTAACCGAACGGTTAAGGGAAACACGATGTCGTGAAAATCTCACGTGATTATCCAATCAATACAAGCAAACACACGAGTATTTTTACAGCAAGTTTCTTGATAGCATCTGTAGTCTTAATTTAAATACAAAAATGCAAATACAAAATATGGCAAAGAACGCTGACGGTCCAAATTCCAATTGGATTCAGCTAAAATTTTCGCTAGTCATCACTATCTAACTGCAAATATAAAATATGATAATTACTGCACTAACCCAAATAATCAATTATATGTTGGTTCGCCAATAATAGCACAGAAAAATTGGTGGAAAAGAGGCATTTTTATTATAAGATGTTCATTTTATTTAATAAGATTTTGGAAAGCATCGTAGGGATACGACGCTAGACAAAGTTTAAACATGCTCGATCACTTGCTGGCATTTCCACCAGATTGATGGAGCCCATCGAAATACCCCTTCGGATCGCTCTCGAACGCTCCCCTAGAAATGTAAGCTCCTTCCCCGCTTCCCGGAGCCACCATCATTCCTCCTCCTCCTCCGCATTTGCCACCGCCTCCTCCGCCGCCGCCGCCCATTCTTCTTCCTCCTCCTGAGATGCGGTTCTTTTCGTTTCTAGTACAAATACGATTTGGGGTCTGAGTGAGTGGATGATGACGTAACAAGAGGAAACACGTGGGAGACTACCAATGTTTTTCATGCACGTAAAAACATTTGAAGGCTGCATGCATTTGGCTTGAGTCGCTGCAACTTTTTTTTTTCCCCAACCATGGGCCTGACTCTAGCGGCAACAGTCGTTTTTTAAAAAATTATTATCATATAAAATTAAAGAATTCAAATTTTAATTTATATTAAACCAAACTTTTTTTTATATCTTTTCTTAACGTATTACAAAAATTATATTTTAATTATCTTAATTTGTTTTGATTTTTTTTAAAAAAAATTAAGCCCAAAACCCAACTCAAATCCGAAATAAACTCATAGGAAACTTCAGATCGAAGATTTTAGGTCCACTCATGTTTAGGGCTGAGCTGACCCGACCCATAAATATTTGGGTTTGTGTCGGGCTCGGGTCGGACTGGACCAAACCGGTCATTTTGACACCCCTACAATCAAACAAAGTTTTTCAAAAAAAAAATTTAATCGGCACTTTTACTTCCAATTTACCTTACCCACACACTCATGAGTATTTTTACAGCAAGTTTCATGATTTCATACAAAAATGCAAATACAAAATATGGCAAAGAAAAACTGCAAATGTAAAATATGGTGGCAACTATTTCAGATAAAACACTAAACCATATAAACAATTATTTGCAATTATATGTTGGTTTGCCAATAATCGCACAGAAAAATTGGTAAAAAAAAGGGCATTTTTATAAGATCTTCATTTTATTTAATAAGATTTTTCAAAGCACCATAGAGATACAACGCTAGATAAAGTTTAAACAGGCTCGTCACTTGTTGGCATTTCCACCAGATTGATGGAGCCCATCGAAATACCCTTTCGGATCGCTCTCGAATGATCCCCTTGAAATGTATGCTCCTCCTCCCCTTCCCGGAGCCACCATCATGCCTCCACCGCCTTTTCCGCCTCCGCCTCCGCCGCTCCTTCCGCCGCCGCCTTTTCCACCGCCTCCTCCACCGCCACCGCCCTTTCCACCGCCGCCGCCTCCTCCTTTGCCGCCCATTCTTCCTTCTCTTAAAATATTCTTTACTATCACAAATGCGATTTGGTGTTTGAGTGAGTGACGAAAAGGGTGTGTGAGAATGATCTTTTTATAGACGGAATTGCTCGAAAAGGGTCAAAATCGCCACTTTCCAAAGTATTATTTTTTCAAAGTATTGGAATGGATGGTCTCGTGGACGTTAATGTCGCCACCCTCGTGAGGCTAAATGTTGGTTAGTCGCTTGTCCAGCTATTAAATTCGAGCGCTCATTGGAAATTATGATAAATGTTAATCTATATTAATTCCCAGCTCAACGGCCCCATATTTTACCTCAAAATGTCGCTCACCCACAAACATGCAGCTACAAATATTGTATATATCTTATCTAAATAAATTATAATTTTAGAATTCAAGCCAATCATTTTATTTTAACATTTACCTCTCATTTTCGGTTCTTGTTAGCTGTCCATTTTTTTTTTCTTTCCCGACATTCTCTTGTCCTCTGCAAAAAAAAAAAAAAAAAAAGAAGCTGAATTTATATGGAGTACGCATCCAAATAGGAAAAAAGATTTTTCAATCTTTGAGTTAAGTGAGAAGAAATTCTAGTTAAGATATATTCTGATATAAAAATAAAGAAATTCTTTTTTTTTAATAATTAAGTTTTTTGGGAGTGTATAAATTATATAATTAAGATTTGGAAGAAAGAGAGGCTCATACAGAAAGCCCGGAGCCGTCTCCACATACATAGTGGATGGATTGCATACCACCAAGTGAGAAGGGATTGAACTCTTATTTTATGTGGTAAATTAAATTAAAAAATACATTAGGACAAGAACTCTTAAAACGTACCATTGGCATCTGGTGCACCCATTTGTATTCCATTGGGTTACAGTCTCCCATGGGTTTAATTAATTTTTTTTATAAGTTTTATAAAATTTTAAATTAAATTGTTAAATATCTCCGTGTTAAAATATTAAATTTAATTTCCTCTCTTAATATCTCCGCCAGTCCATACACACGGGTTCATTCTAAACCCGGACTAACACAAAGTTCGATATAAATGAAAAATATCACTAAGCAACCTCCAAAATCATGATCATTTAGATTTGGTTTTAATGTTACATTCGTTTAGCATTATGATTATGGCTTATTCCGTTGCGTTTTATCGGGTTTTTTTGTCACCGTTCCCGGGGGACAAAACGACGTCGTAAGATGACGTGGCGGCTTCTTGATTCAACGAGTGTATATATAAGCGTCTTCTTCAGCTGACACATCTCTCGGCACTTTTTTTTTTTGTATTTTATTTTAGTTTTTTTCCCGCCGAACAACGACAATGTATTCATCTTTTCAGCTTCCATTTGTCTTCTCCACAAGCTTCGGTTTACACCACTGTCTGTACGCACAAATCCTCAAGGACGAAGATATTCGTGAATTTCCTTCGAGGTCTTCGCTTTGCTTCGCCGATCACCGGGGAAATATTCCCCTGCTTTTACAGGTTACGATCCCTCTAATCTCGCTGTTCCACTTCTTCGATTTCGTGTTTGTGTTGATCGCATGCGATCGGTTCGGTCTGGGTTGAGCAGGTTTTTGGTTTCGGACGCTGTGTCGATGGAGAGTACGGCGAAGGAGGTGAAGGGAAGGGAGTCGGAGCTCCACGTGGATTCTGGATCCTCCGTAAACGGTGGCGTCGGCGATTTCTACGGAGAGGATTCGGCCTCCGTTGAGCACTCCGTAACTCCATGGACTCTCTCCGTTGCTAGGTACAACAAGCTTCAAGTTCTGTCTTCAATTTTGGGTTTCTCTTTTCGGTATTGATTTGAAATTCGAAAAATTAGAAGCTTTTGTGCGTGATCATGGATTAGGTCAAAATTCCTATTTGCAATTTGGAGATTCTAATCGAGACTATGGGATTCGAAATACACAACTGCTTCTGAAATCGCATTCTTGATGTTGATTGAAAGTTTGTTTTGCATATAGTAAGATTACAAGCTTATCGACCTCACCAGTTTACAAAATTATGTTTAATTTTGAGATTTTAGTTAAACTGTGAAATTATTTTTCCGAGAAGCTGTGAAAGTTACGCGATTTGATATTTTCTTGATTCAGTGGGTATACACTGCTGAGAGATCCTCGCCATAACAAAGGGCTTGCCTTCTCTGAGAAAGAGAGGGATATCCATTATTTGCGTGGCCTTCTCCCTCCAGTAGTCGTGGATCAAAATCTTCAGGTACAACCGCCCGAATTCAGCGCTCTTTCACGTCTAAAAGCGCCAGTTTTTCAGTTCGGTGGAACTTTCAGTTCGGTGGAACGAATTCGATGACTTTTTTCAACGTTTTTTGGTCTCGGATTGATCAGGAGAAGAAGCTGATGAAGAATATCCGGCAATATCAGTTTCCACTGCAAAAGTACATGGCCTTGACAGAACTTCAGGTGCTTCCTTGTTTGTCTAGTGTCCGATCTCTAAGGGTCACTATCATTGCCACTTTAGAGAATAATCGAATCTTCTTTTTTTATTTCTGGACTGACAGGAGAGGAACGAGAGATTGTTCTACAAGCTGCTCATAGATAACGTCGAGGAACTTCTCCCGATTGTTTATACTCCAACTGTAGGTGAAGCTTGCCAGAAATACGGAAGCATCTTCAGGCGTCCTCAGGGTCTATTCATCAGTTTGAAAGAGAAGTATAGGGCACTGCTTGCTATGATTTCCCTGTTCGTTTTGTGCACATTCCTATTACTTGACTTACAGTCAACATGATTGTGACGCAGAGGGAAAATTCTCGAGGTGTTGAAGAACTGGCCCGAAAAGAATATCCAGGTTGTTGTCGTAACCGATGGTGAGCGGATCTTGGGGCTAGGAGATCTTGGTTGTCAGGTATTAGTCAGATATGTTTTGTTTTTATGTGAACTCTCAGTTTCTTCCTACTGACCTGGGCCATTGCCTCTAAGGGCATGGGTATTCCTGTGGGCAAGCTGTCTCTATACACGGCACTTGGAGGAGTTCGTCCTTCAGCGGTAAGGACATTTAGCTTAATCGCCTTCTGATTTCATTATTTGCTTTGCCAAAATCTTGGAACTGTCAACTCAATACATGCCGGAAGATTTTAAATCTTTTTTGATATTCTGCCTTCTTCCTTTTTTCAGTGTTTGCCTGTCACCATTGATGTGGGTACAAACAATGAAAAGTTGCTGAACGATGAGTTCTACATAGGGCTCAAGCAAAAGAGAGTGACAGGGAAGGTTATACTTTCTCACTCTCTTTACTTGGTAAAAGAATTGAAAATGTATGAATTTACACTTTCACAAATGAATAGCGTTCTTCTGACATCTTTCCAGGAGTACAGTGACCTCTTGCATGAATTCTTGACCGCTGTCAAACAGAACTATGGCGAAAAAGTTCTTATACAGGTATATCTTCTGCGATTGCTATTCCTTCCAATTCTACCGTTCGAAGATTCAAGATTTTGTTATATCCATGTTTTTTGCTGTCTTCCCTTTAACACAGTTTGAAGATTTTGCAAACCACAATGCTTTCGAGTTGCTTGCAAAATACAAAAAAACTCATCTTGTCTTCAACGATGATATACAGGTAAGAGATACAAATTTAATGGCATTGACTTTCAGTGTACGTTCTCTTTTTCACTTGGAATAATTTGGTATTTGCCGTTTTGGGTTCAGGGCACAGCTTCTGTTGTTCTAGCCGGGATATTGGCGGCAGTGAAGTCAATGGGCAGTTCACTAGCAGATCACACCTTCCTCTTCCATGGTGCCGGTGAAGTAAGAGAATAATCTTCGCCTTCCATTCCATGCTTACTCGCCATTTCTTCAGTTTTTTTTTGTTTTTTTTTTGTTTTTTGCAGTTATGTTACCGCTTAATAGCCGTGTTGTTCTTCTGGTTATTGCAGGCTGGAACTGGAATAGCAGAACTTATTGCTCTTTATATGTCGAAACAGGTAAAGGATGCTCTTTGAAATCCTACTCACACAGATCAGTTTTGATTCGTTTCTTGTTTCTTCCACAGATGAATGCTTCAATGGAGGAGTCCCACAAGAAGATCTGGCTTGTTGATTCTAAGGTAGAAGAAACCAGTTTGTTGTTTCTTCTCGTTTTCGTCCCTTCCAGTTTACTTACAGAAGAATATTATGAAGCAACTTCGATTTTCTTTGTAGGGTCTGATAGTAAACTCAAGAATGGACTCACTTCAACAATTCAAGAAGCCTTGGGCTCACGAACACGAACCTCTCAATAACCTCTTTGATGCTATCAAGGTGTGGAGAACATCTTCCTGTTTTAAGTATATGACTGCTTGTTTCAGTCTCCTAAAAAACAAAAAACGAAATTCTTGCTTCTGCGTAACGTGTTTCCTTCCCCAGACAATCAAACCAACGGTTCTGATCGGATCTTCTGGAGTCGGACGGTCTTTTACAAGAGAAGTGATCGAAGCCATGTCCTCCATTAACGAAGTACTCTATCTATCATGATCGTTATTTCGCTTTGCTTCAATCTGGAAAAAAAAAAAGATATGCAATATGTTCATTTGGTGTTTGCAGAGACCTTTGATAATGGCTCTCTCCAACCCGACACCGCAGTCAGAGTGTACAGCAGAGGAAGCTGTTATGGTTCTGAAACCTCAACAGCTCCTTAGAGAAATCCCAGCAGCTTTATTGAACACCCAACCCTTACACTTCGGATAGCTTTGATTAGAGAGAGGCTCCTACTCTCTTCCCCACCCAATTCCCAACCAGAAAAATCCCTCCTCCCTTTCCACCTCCTCCTCCTTTCTTTATACAATTCCCCCTCCTAACAGAATCCTCTAACAACTACCAATCATAACGAAACAACTAACAAAACAACCAAACAAATGTCAACACCTATATGCTATCTACACAAACAAACAAACACCACAATAGCTGTGTATCTTTACCCCTAATCACTCTATAGTACTTATCAATACTCCCCCCTTTCTGTCTCAGCTTGTCCTCAAGCTGTAAACTTGGAAATTGCTTGTTGAAATCTTCAGCCACTTTTGATCCCAGCTCCACCGAAAACCGCTGGCTCACCAGCATTGAGCAACACCCTCTCCCTCAGTTGAGCATTTTCACAAACACTTGGTAACCGCCCCATCGAATTCTGTTGTCGATCTCCCAACGGCGATTCGGCGGACAGTATCCTTTGCAACTTCGGATGTAGAATCTCTACTTCTAGTTTGTTTTCCACCTTCACCGGAACTGTTGGTGCGTCATCGTTGTTCGACAAACGATCGACGAACTCTTTCAACTCTGAATTCAGATTTTTTGCGCCAAACTCAAAAAAAATTTCATCTCGAGAAATCAATCGGCTCACCTTATCCTCGTCAAATATTGGTTTCTCTTTCTTCTGTAGATACCAAGAAGCCTGACCGACCAATTGCTTCAATCGATTCTTTTCCAGTACAGTTTCTTCGTATCGATCAGTAGTAACCAGCGCCCTAGGTTTTTTCGGTGGCAAATGATGATCCACTGTTTGCTTAGAAGTTTGTGTCATCCGATGTCGCTGGATATTCCCGACTCTTACTTTGTTCTTCACCGAAACCTTTCTTTTCCGCTGCGATTGCATGAACGTCACCTCTGTCATCGTCGATTTCAACTCACCAGCACGATCCGGTTGCAAATCTGCCACCGGTGCGACAGGATCATCCACAATCGGTGAGAAGCTTGATTTTATTTCTGCAGCATCGATCTTCATAGCTGAATCTGATTGCAGATTCTCCTCTTCTGCTTTATGCTTCACTATCGTCGATTCCGGCTCTACCGAAACTGTAGTCTCGCCAGCGTCGCTTGGTGTCTGCTCCATCGGAACCTCGATTCCCAGCATCGCACACATCTTCTTCAGCATTTCTTCCATTCTGTCCAAACATTCCATTCTTTGAACATGGCCTTCCATTTTTTTTTTAACGGATCGAAGTCTGCTCCTTTCTTTGCGCGTTGTTCTTCGTCCTTGATGAGACTTGCTCTGATACCAATTTGTTATGGTTCTGAAACCTCAACAGCTCCTTAGAGAAATCCCAGCAGCTTTATTGAACACCCAACCCTTACACTTCGGATAGCTTTGATTAGAGAGAGGCTCCTACTCTCTTCCCCACCCCATTCCCTCTTCCCCACCCAATTCCCAACCAGAAAAATCCCTCCTCCCTTTCCACCTCCTCCTCCTTTCTTTATACAATTCCCCCTCCTAACAGAATCCTCTAACAACTACCAATCATAACGAAACAACTAACAAAACAAATGTCAACACCTATATGCTATCTACACAAACAAACAAACACCACAATAGCTGTGTATCTTTACCCCTAATCACTCTATAGTACTTATCAGAAGCTTACACTTGGAGTCAGGTAGTAATACTCCCTTTAACACCATGTTTCTTGCCAGCCAACAACAACAAATGTAAAAGTTGAATTTTCGTTCTGGGGTGATTCTTTGAATGAAGGGACGTGCGATTTTCACGAGTGGAAGTCCATTTGCTCCAGTCGAATATGGAGGAAATGTCTTTATACCCGCACAGGTAAGTAACCAACTGTCAAATACATGTTTAGTTCTTCTCGAACTTGTTTAGTAAGACGGGGTTAGTGAGATTCAGGCAAACAACGCATACATATTTTCGGGGTTTGGGCTTGGTCTGGTGATCTCGGGAGCCATTCGGGTGCACGATGACATGCTTCTGGCTGCCTGTACGTATTCGGAACCTCTATGATCACAGAATAAGAAAGAGAGGTGTAAAACTAAAACTTTGGGGCTTATGTTTTTTCTTTCTCGAACAGCTGAAGCGTTGGCGGGGCAAGTAAAGGAAGAGGACTACAAGAAAGGGAAGATATACCCCCCTTTCTCCGTTATCAGGGAAATCTCGGCTCGTATAGCCGCAAATGTAGCGAACAAGGCCTATGAACTCGGTCAGTTTTGTCTCTACCATAGTGGTCATTTCGGGTTTCGGCTTGGGATTTAGAAAAAAATGGTGTTTTGAACAGGATTGGGGACAAGACTACCACGTCCAAGGGACATGGTGAAGTGCGCAGAGAGCAGCATGTACTCCCCCACTTATCGACCTTACCGTTGATTAAGGCTCTGATGGAAGACACCCAAGTACAAGTACGTAACCTCTCTCTCTCTCTCCCCCCCTCAAGGTCGTGTAAAGATAGTACAGTCTACGATGCATGAAATAACACCCACAGAAAGAACGAATACTCCTAATGCGTGTCATCTTTTTCTTATCCCTTATCTTACAGTCAGAACCAACTAACAGAGAGAAAATAGAACCCGAAAGCAAGAAAAATTTCATAAATCAGAGGGAACCGATATCGATGGATTGAACATTGACACATAAATGTAAGCTAAGAAGACCCCCAAAAAATCAAATTCAAAAGCTTCCTCCTAACTGTGACGAAGGAAAGGGGCAAGAGAGAGAGAGAGCCTAGACGTCGAACTTCTTGGGTTGACGCCAGTGAGCCAAGTTCCTGCCGAGCGAGCTTAGGAACGAGACTTGGTGAGGAACTCCTTTCTTACCATACAAGTGTTTCCCTCCTAAGTCTGTCTTTATTGGAATCATGTCCTTTCTTCTTTCAATCTGTCCTCCCCCCACCCCCCCAAAAAAAACACATTCACACCCAATCTATGGTCAATTCTTTTACCTATATATATGTATATGCATATGTATATGTGGGTGTAGAGCTCACCTTGTATATCTTGCCGTTCTTCAAGTGGTATCGGATGCCAGACCAGTTTATGGATTGTGAGAAATGCGAACGTAGAGCCGATATCGGGTATAGGAAGTTATCCACTAGTATCGCTACGAACACCTGCATCAACCCTCCCCAATACACTCTCTTTTATATATATACATATACATATATATGTATGTATGTATGTATGTATGCATATGTGTAACTCACAAGTCCCCAGTTATAAGCAGCAAGAGAGAGCCTGGGAGCTTCAGGGGACAACATATTGCAGAGCTCGACTTCTCTCCTCGTCAAATTCCACATGGAAACAAGCTCCGTGAATGTGCACATCGCCAGAGCTATCACTAGCATCATTCCTGCAAACTTATGTACATTACTACCCCCCATAAGCACTATATAGAGAAAGTTGTGCCTTTTTTTTAGCAAACGACAAAATTCACATATCCTCTGCAACAGTTATGCCATTGTCTGGATAGACAATAACACACTAGGCTCCTGTCACTTCAGTTGATACTGTAACAGAAACCAGTTTTAACAATGGATGGAACTATGAGAGGATAAAAAAAAACAAAAA